ACACGATTTGAAGTTCCAAAAAAATAAGGAATAGATCTTATTCCAAATAATAGTTTTTATTTATTCACAAGTCATCCGTTTAAAAACATTGTCGGTTTTATTCAGAATTTTTTGAACTTTCTAATCATAAATAAATAATAAATAAATAAATAACGCACACACTCAACATAGCCCCGCACTAGGGAAACCCTGTGTCGCGGGTGCCGTGGACACACACATAGACAACCACAAATTACACCCAACCTCACGAGAGAAATAAATGTAAGCTATACAAACATTTCTCCCGGCCCGGGAATCGAACCTGGGACCTCTGCGTGGCAGTCCGGCATGGAAACCGTTCGGCCACGGAGGCAGTTGAATCATAGTTAAGAGGAACCCACGGGGCCAGCCCATGGTGGTAGGCTGGCTCGTCGCGGGCTCGTCTGGTCAGCGGGACCGCGCGGATGTGCGTTGGGAGGAGGGTTGCGGGGTGAGAGACGTCTCGGTGTATTGTTGCCGCTCGTCCTGTCGTTTTCTCAATTCCATCAGTTTTGAGTTACGACAGTACGGTCCACGAGCAAGAAGGTTTGGTTTCATTTGCTTTTAAATAGATAATACAACTTTTTCTTTATGAAATTTCAAAAAAAAAACAAACCATTGTTGTATTTGAGTCGTGTCGTTACTGTTATCAAGGCTATGAACAACAAAGATTAGTATGTCTCATCACAAACAGTTGGGAACAGCCTTCTTCAATAACACTTCAGTCAATTTCGACTCCCTTGTACGGTACAGGACAAATTCTGGATTCGACATATTCGACAGACTCGTGGATTCATTGTCACACACGTGAGCCATTACACCTTGTAGATTGAATTCTGTGCTATAAACGCTCCCTTGATGATTCACATATTGTTAAGACACGCAAAGTTTATAGATCGTGCGCTTATAATAGAGCTGTTAACGTCATCGACCTAAATGCGTTCTACTCATGTTCTACCGGAGCATTTTCCGTGCCCACTTGATGAGGTCAGCAGCTCTATTGTGCGCTTCTTTCTGGATGGCTGGTATGGCTTCCATTCCAAGAACAGTAAAATTTAAAATATAGGAAATTAAACTATTTTAAACAAATACACGCGATTTAAATCCGGAAAAATAGTTTCATTTCCTATGTGTAACAATCGCGAAAACATAATACAATTTATATAGATCAAGACTTCCGAAGACAAAGCATTTCTACATATTTCACAATTCAAAGTTTAACAGCATTCTAAAATATACTTAAAAATAATAAAACAGGTATAATGTGTGCACGTAAATTGGTAAAAGTCTCTTCAGAGTTACGTGCACTTATTGAGGATATGTTTGATTAATTTAGTGCAAATGTTGACCCTCCGTTGAAACCAGGGGGGACAGCTGTTGAGGACTAGTGGAACAGGCCATCCGCAACAATATTTTAATCAAGAGCATGCCAAACTTGACACTTTGGACCGCTTTTGTCGTAAGAGACATTCAAGTCTTAAGTGGCTTAACCATGTATTAATTGTGAATTGTTGTCCAAATACATAGCAGATAAATAACTACTTACTTTAAAAAAAAAACTTGATAACTTTAAAATGTCCCTTTTTGAAGTCTAAGACAAAGAAAAATTAAAGCTGGGTTTATTCGAAAGGTTTTGTAGATCAATAATTCAATAAAAGTCACACTTGCCGCTGTACAAAACTAATACAAGTTGCTAGGTGGTCGTAAACCCCATAAGTCTGTCCTTGCGCTCGTAACATAATCTGTCACACAAATTGTGTATGATAATGTAAATAACTTAACAAAACGCTAGTCAATTCACGTATAGTACGAGATTTGGTATGACCAACAATATCGATTTATTCGACTTATCCAATCACACTCTGGCTTCCTCTAATTCCACACTCACAAGCTCACACAACTATTATAGTTGCACGTATTTACTTACATAAACTGTAAGGCTCAACTCACACTGGCGCAGAGTCGAAGCGTCGCGACGCGTCATGTTTTTCGCTTATAGCATATTCATCTCTATTTATGCTATTTTCCCATGATTAAGGTGCAAATTTGTGTTATGCAAATATAGAGTTACTTGAGCGTAGTGGTGCGTCAGACGTCGACCACACTGTGATCCGGGCGCATCAATGCGGGCGTGACCAAATCAATATCAAATTCGAAGAACTTTCTCATATAATCAACGAGACGACACACGAAGTAGCAATGTGTGCTTGGCACATATTTATGCTGATAATTTTGTTTTAAAGAAATACATCTGTATTTGTGAATATAGTTTACTTTTGTTTATCTAATGCAAACAGGTGAATAGAGTTCACTAAAACAATGTTTAATACACCCAGGTGATTTAGGCACCATTTTTGTAACAATATTGTATATAGCATAATGTTATACAATTGACCATTGTGACCATCGTTACAAAATTCGTTTCCATTCCGTTCCGCCGCAATATGAATGGAGCCTTAAGAGCCTATGCACACGTATTTTTTACGGGCAGATGACGCGCGTTAACGCAATTCATACGCAATGTAGTCGCAGCGAGTAAATATTTGCACACGTTCAAAAGTTCAGAGGCGCCGTAAACCTGTGCGTACAAAATACGAATCCTGTACCCCACCTACGATGGGGTCGGGTTCGCCTTGCGGCGGTGGTCGGATCGGTCTTTAGATTACGGCATGTGCTTATGCTCTTAGGTGGCACAGCGGTTACTACTATGGACGCAATTTACTTTTTTTTAGTGTAATCGGATCTAAGCTAGGTGTTGTAGTTCTTGAGATTGAGTAATGGTGCCGCTGGAATAAACTTATTCCAGCGTGGACAGTAAAAAATATATATATATATTATAATATATATATTGTTCTAACTTTTGAACGGCGGCGGCGGACCGATTAAATCTAGATTTTTGTAACTAGAACCGACTAAATAGAGACTTTTTTCTGGCTAGTCCAATACCAAAAACTCTCGACTATGGTCACGCTGGAATAAGGCACGCGTGTGGAATACGCCATGTCATAAGAAGTGTACACAAGTCTTAGAGGATGGAAAAAATAAGTACATACATGCGAATGATTTTTGTATTATAACGTCGGGTATTTGAAATTTTTGTTTTTTCTCTTCACCATTATTCCAGTCATTTAATTTATAAGAACTTTACCATATTCTACGTTCGATGGCGTAGATTCGGCGACATTATAGATAACCTCTATGGGCGATATGGAAACTAAAATTCTGTGCATCAACTCATTCATAACGGTAAGACATTTTAGTTTAGATCAGTCAAATAATTACATTTAGTCAAATCCTTACACTCATCTTTATTTATAGGAAAAAATATTACCGCTCCTCCTACCACAATTTAACAGCTATAAACTAAAATAAATAAAGTTAAATTTTTCGTTTTTTTGTCGGTTATAACGGTGAAAGAAGCAGAGGTTCCTAGATCACCTTTTCTCGTTCCGCTCCTTGGTTTAACAACCTATCTTCCCATACTCCTTTACCCACTCATCGTGCCTCCTTATTAATCCTATCCTCAATAATTATTTATTATGTTGCTCGGATATTAAAACATTTGTACATTACAAAAAAAAATTAATAAAAGCGCTGTATATCAATTCTTCTTCAGCCGTTGCTAATCCGATACAGTACATCAACAGTTCTTCTAGTATACCTTTAAGCCGTTTTTCGGGTTCACAGATAGATATACAATGACCATTGTCTTAGCGGACCAGTGCACCAGCGCTAAAAATCTGTGTTCATGTGCAAAATACACGGTTACAAAAATTTTACGACCTCTACAACCCCCTGGGTATAATTGATGTATTCGATCACAATATCTCCTCCATTATCGATCGTCAAAAAAGTTCTGTTAAAATTAAACTCGCTGGAACGTTAATAACGAATAGTTCCACATAGATTAACTCGTATAGCATAAGATAACTATGCTGAACGTACGGTTATGTTTGGAGTCGTGAACAAACCGAAAACAACACTTTTTAACAACAATGCATATCTCTGAAACTTTAAGATACAATGCAATTATTATTTATAAATTTCTTTCAAACCAGAAGGATAAAAATAATGTAATAAAAAGTCAATTATAACCTCTAGTTGGGTGTTATTGTAACAGAAAAAGGCAACTGTTTGTTATTTTTGTCACCAATTAAGAATCTTTTGGCAACATAATAAGTGAAATAAAAAGTAAAGTATATTTAATTTTTTTTTTATTTCTTTTTACATGCATGACATTGTTTGAATGCGTATGGCATGGTGTATGTATTTAGCATTAAATAAAAAATATTTATTTCATACTCCAGCCCCAATACATTAAATAACAATAAAGATTTTAAAGATCGAGAAGATAAGTTTTTCGAAAAATTCCCTATCTTTGCATCACTTTAAAACCTGGTATATGTAGTACCAGTAGTTCTGTCAACAGAACTAGTGGGAGAGAAAATTCTCAGTATTTCTATGACGAAAACTGAATATTTATTAACAGAACAAATGGGAAAAAAGTACCAGTAGTTCTGTCCACAGAACTAGTGGGAATAAACAGAATTTAATAATCCATCACTTACAATAATTGTGATAAACTTTCTGAAAGTGCATTTCAACAACGACTTAACCCCTTCGGAGTAATTGTACTTACTCCATATTGTTCCCATCCGAAGAGAATTAGAATATAAGCGTTTTACTTGCCCCAAATGACACATTTTGTCCTGATAAATATGTATATGTATACCAGGTATTCAGGAAGCTCACGCTAAAACTCAAGTAGCATATTATGGATAAAAACAACGAATTTAAACAAAGGTTAAAAAAACTGTTTACATATAAACACTTTTCCATTATCCAGTTAGGATGTCGTGTATAAGAAATGAATTTTACAACAAAGGCGTTAATTTTGATGTTCAGAACAAGCCTGGAGTTCAGTTAACGCTTGAATTTAGAAGCAGCGTAGAGACGTTTTAAAATTTGACGGACCGACAATCGTTGGTGTGTACGTATTCGTCGCAGGAATTTACGAACCAAACTTGAATTTGGTCGGCACTCGCGCTGGTACCGTGAACGAGTAACCTGAAAACGAGAATTATGGTTATAACGCTATTAATATAAGAACATAATCATCTTGATAGCTTGTCTGTGGATTGAGTTTCCTCCCATTGTGAATTTATGCGTAAAATGACGTAGCTATGAAAGGCCCAGAAGTGCCCCCTAGTAATTGGTATGATGTTTGAACTCGTGTTCTCTGACGATTATCAAGGTATTATATTATAATTAGCGTTTAAACGTAACGCACTTAAAAACGTTTGGTTTTTAATATAAGCACACTTATAATTTTAAGTCTAAGCGTTGGCCAATTCAATACTCGACAATTTCATCTAAGCCATCTAAGTTTCCTAAACAAATTAATTTGTTAATGTGAATATGATCAATATTTTTTATTCACGTTGACGAATAATTTGTGTAAATGAAATTAAAAAGTGGGATTGGGATATGACCATGGGACGGTGGGTCGGTTTGTTTGAAAAAACATATATACGCGATTTAAATGCGGAAAAATAGTTTCATTTCCTATGTGTAACAATCGCGAAAACCAAGAACTCGATAAAGGCTATGCAGTTCAACATTTTTCTAAACGAGTTTATAAGCTTCAACCTAGAAAGCCTTTTTTAAGACGCTTACTTAAAAAAGTACAACGTTTAAGCATTTAAAATTAATAAGCAGTTTTTCCATTTCTAATTATAATACATATCATTATCAACCCCAACAAAACGGAAAAAATTATTTACTCCTACTAATTGGCAAGATTTGAGACCCGCTTCGAAATCGTGAATTGTAACTTAGATGCACCTAATTCGTCGCTGATTTTGCGATAAACATTATTACAATGTTTTTTGCTTGAGATTGACGCGGATTCTCAGTAATCGTTGCTACAAAATCGTTATTTTCAAGTGAAAAAAGTTTAGGAGACAGCCACTTGACACAAGTATTATTTCGAATTGACATGTCGCACCCTTAGTAATATAAGGGCACAATCCAAAAAAAGTAGATTTTTGGGAAATTTGGGACTTGATAGGGACTTAAATAATAAATGGGATCAAACTTATATAGCTCCATATTTCTGTTATATTTTTTGTACTATATGGGTCTAACTTGAAAGTGTTTTTTTAACTTGCTTGAAACTTATGGAATTTATTTATATTATTTTTTTTTATTGCTCTTTATAATACATTTATCAAAGAACAAATCTGCCAAATTTCATATTTATAACTTAAATAATAAGCATATTATTTGAAAAAATAGGTGTAATGTAGGAATCCAGAATCTTAATACGCGATTTCCCAAAAATCTACTTTTTTTGGATTGTGCCCTTATATTACTAAGGGTGCGATGTGACAAATTAACATTGCCAGGTCAAAGTCGTTCAAATGTTCTAATATTTAATGACATGAGATTCAGGTACAACTAGACTTTTACTACGTTACGTATTGATTTCTCAATTTCTTGTTCCGCTAAATGTGGGGGTGTGTGTACATTATTATAATTAACTACTATACGTACCGCCGCTCTGTTCGATGCGTTTGCTATCCTGTTGCGCTTTCCGCTGGTCGGCAAGCACGAACACAGCATTCAATTCTTTCTGTTGCTCCTCGTTGAGCACACTCGTCAGCGCGTGGTACAGACCTGGTTCGGTCGTTGCTAATGCTACCAATCAACATAGAGAAAAGAAATGTATCAAAATAGTTTTTCCTATCAAATTAGGCATATTTCTCTGGTGTCACAAAACAAACGCTATTGGATGCTGGTAAGCAACCCACATATGATCATAGTGTTGCGAATATGGCACCTTAAGATTTTTTCGTTGTTTTTGACAGTTTGACAGTGACTAAAATGTACTTAACTTTTACAGTCGTCACGTAAGGAGTGACGATTTGTTGAGATTTATTACTATAATTCCCCAACAACAAGCACAACAGTAAAGTTTTCATTTTATATAAATTTTAGAACAATGTTAATTATCTTTATGTGACATTTTCGCAAATATATGATTATGTTGGTTAACACGTTATTGCTTGTCAGCATCCTACTGTTTTATTTAGTCAGTTTTCGAAAAAAAAAATTACAAAGATCGAACACATACCACCGGGTTTACCACAGTAACGTTTCGAGTTAGGTCGAAGGTATTTTTTTGCGTTCGATTATTTTTTACGATACGTGACCGAACGAACAAGTTTTGCGTCTGGTGTTAAGCGACACGTCTGTCCATAGCAGTTGCAGTGGCACTCAGAACGTTAAATCGCCACTTTAAAAGACCTGATGGACACTGCCACTGCGCCGGTCACCATGAGACATAAGTTGACATGCGTCTCTGGAGGAACTTTCAAACGGAGCTCGGAGCGGCGTATTGCGGTGCATCACAAGCAAAAACGCTTTATTGAGAAGTTTGTGTAGTGTGTATAAGTGCCAAAGAGAGATTTTGCATACCAATTTTATATCAGAACCGAAAGAATACAAAGGTCTAATTAGATGGATTAGGAATACAAACGCCTATTTAGATGGAGAGAGTTTATTGCACGCTTCGTGGCGAAAAATCGTACGCGATTATCGTAAGCAATAATCGCCATAAGATTATCGTATCATAATGTTTACATTCAGGCAAGAACTAAAATCTCGCCTAGGATTATGTTATACGAGAATTGCAAGCAACTTAATCGCCTCCTCGACTGTTACACAGAGAAATATGTAGTAAGGAGATTCTTGCTTACGTGTTTTCGACTTGTACAACACGATCTTATATTATCGTACAAATCGGTTCGAACGGTTGAGAGTGCGACAATTGCCATCGAGTTCAGTGATTACTGCATTATTGACTATGGGTATATCAAAATGACGCAATAATCCATTGACTTACAAATAAATGGACGACGGGTCTAATACAAATTCTAATAAAAATTTATATATATTTATGTTTTAATTTTATAACATTTCTTAACCCAAAATTTATTTCCGTTCTCGTTTCAGTAATTCTTGTCTTAGAAAGGCAGTGATAATCAAAACACTGCATTCAAGTTAGCGACTGGCTGGCACAATAAGTCTAAATACTATTTTTGCTTACACGGACACGTTCAATATTCAAAGGCGACGCGACTATCGCTCACGTGGAAGGTCGACAATCGCGAATGTTTAAACGAGAAAAGTTTTTTATATTCTTTCGATGATGAGAAACTCTCTTCATCTAAATGGGCCTTAACTGGCGTTACTAGACAATCAATATTTATACCTGAGAGTGTGTTCTTGAATTTGATATATTCATCTATTTGACAATCCTGGTCGTCGAGGGGTGTGGTGTAACATTCGATGGCCGTGTCTTCTGGCTCGTCGTCTTCGTCATCCTGGCGGCACATAAATATAGCTATAGTGGCAATATGGTTTACAAATGTACTAATGGAGAGTTCGTGCCTAAAAGCCGTTTAGGTCCTTATAATATTAATGGGTGTAACTTGTAATTTTGTTTCGATGATACATGATATATGGCCATGCCGCTATGATACATGGCGTTCTGAATCGGACTGGGTAATAAAATAATTCCGTCAAAAAGACACGTCCTTTCATCGTTAAAGGTGCAGCCTCAATCAATCAATCAGCTTATCACAGTCCACTGCTGGACATAAGCCTCCCCAAGTCTACGCCACAGTGCCCGATCACCGGTTTTCCGCATCCAACCACTACCCGCGACCTTCATCAGATCGGTCCATCTTGCAGGGGGACGTTCTATACGTTTGCCGAGACGTGGTCTCCACTCGAGAAACCGTCTACTCCATCGCTCATCGGTTCTGCGACAGATGTGGCCAGCCCACTGCCACTTCAGCTAGCTACATTTCTGGACGATGTCCACAACTTTAGTCTTGTGCAGGATAACTTCGTTCCGGACTTTGTCCCTTAACGAGATACACAGCATAGACTTTCCATATCTCGCCGAGCTGAGCGATGTGTAGTCTGTGAGCCAGTTTGACCGTCATATTCCACGTCTCGGCTCCGAAAGTCATGACCGGTAGGACGCATTAGTTGAAAACCCTGGTATTCAGGCACTGCGGGAGTGGTGACAAGGAAACATGACGCAGTTTACCAAATGCTGCCCAACCCAGATGCACTCTCCTAGCTATTTCACGCTCGAAGTTGTCTAAGCCTAGTTGCAGGGTTTGCCCGAGGTAGACATTCTTGGACAACTTCGAGCGTTTCGTCATTAATCGAGATCGGCTCCGGGATGACGAGCTCATTGAACAAGACCTTAGTCATGTCAATAAAAAAAAAAAACAAAAAGTAAACAAACAAATCTCTGGGGGTCTACTCTCGATCTCCGTCCAACATCCGTCCGAAACAATTACTGCCAAATAAGCAATATTTGATCAAATGAAAAGACGCGTGATGCGAATGAAGCTTCATACTGGATACTTGTCTTATAATTTTGTCGAATATTACTTATTTGACAGTAATTGTTTCGGACGGATGTCGGGCGGAGATCGAGAGTAGCTCCCCTGACCTGGCCAAGACGATTTAGTGATGTCCAATGTTACTGCCAACTACTAACCGATTAATTAACTAAATTAATCGATTTGTTTCATTGAGTCATACTAGGTGGTTTTCCTTACATAACCTGTAAAAGATTATTTCAAATTTCCGAAATCTTATTTATATCCTCCTTCAACTCCTTTCACTGATACTCGTTCGATTGCGATTGAAATTTTCGATTTACTTACAAAAACTTTAATTGAATGAACCGAATCTTTTTTTCCGTACAGCCCTATACAACCATACACTATTCATACATCTATAATTTAAACATAGCCTCACTTATTGACCATCATTTTTCAAATATGATTTTACGATATATGTAATGATGAATGAATGAATGATGACGTCAAAATTTTCGAAATATACATGAAAGCGTTACTATTTACTTGTTACAACAGTTTTGTTTCCGTATATTATGGATTGGAACAAACTGTAGCAAATTGCATTTCAAAAGCACACACTTACTGAGTCGGTGTCCACGTAGTCCTCGATCGTGGTGGTTACGTTGACGCCCTGCGCAGCGCTGTTTTTGACAGTCATTCGTGCTAAATTCGCCAAATACTCGTTGTTCATTTCGTCAATATCATCCTCATCACTTGACAGCACCTCTGTGGCCATAGCTGACATGAAACAAACAAGGCAAAATGTTAATAGGCACACAGGCCTTCAGAAGAAAGGCACAAGCAGCAAATTCTGAACTCGTAGATAATGTGTATAAATATTTTGTACGTTTTTCTGATAAAAAGAATGGTTAAAATATTAAGTAATTTATTTATTTATGTTATAAATACATACCACATGTTTTATACAGAAATTTTCATTGTATTTTAATCACACTTTTTAAAAAAACCTTAATTTTCTCTTTACTAAAGTTAGTACAAAAAATATATATATTATAACAGCATATAAAGGGCATACCTAATTTAAAGACGACTTTTAATAATACCTTACTTTTAATACATGAATAGAACTAAAGGTCACAATGAGGATCAGTCATGTTTTTTGTTAGCTACATATATGCCTTTATACCTAAAAAAAAAAGTTAAGAACCCTGTTTCACATTTTTTTATCGGTAAAAAAATGAAGAAAATACAGCAGATTTATTACAGTAGTCTCAAAAACACGCACGACTAACGTTACCGTACACTGTGATGTCATCTGTCGCCATTAGCCCCCTTTCATCGAGTATATAATCACAAATAGAGACGAAATAAGGGCCATCCATCCTCGGCAATTCATCAGGCAAATGGGCCTTATATCACATTTAAAATATATCAACTTTCATTTGTGCTGAAATCACAAATTAGTAAGCTGAAATAGTACAGCGTCAAGAACTGACTTGTGTGTACGTCTCCGTATATTCCAAAAATATTCAATATTTATTGTAATAAAGATCATATAAATATATATATAATAAATACAAATATCTCTAGCAATGCGGGGCTGTTCAATTCGGTGGTGTGGGAAAAACAGAAAAATTGACGACACCCGTAAATTGTTCCGGATTCGGGCTGGCCAATCTCAGTTCTCACCGTAGAGCTCCCACCGGTCACCGGAGCTCAGTTGTCACCGTAATGATTTGACAGAATAGTTTTCAAACAAATTAAATGACATTTCATCTCTATTTCCGGTTATATACTCGATGCCCCCTTTACACACTCACTCTATCGCGCGTGACCTGGAGCGTACAGGAAAACGTACACACGCAATCGTGGGCGATTACCTGTTTGAAAATTTTCAAAATAACGTCATTTCGCGCGCGATAACTCGTGCTGGAGTGCGTGATTGCTGTATCACGCGTGGTAGAGTGTCTATGTAAGCTATCTCGTTATTTTGGAAAGTTTGTTCCACGCAACCACAGGATAAAACACGAGAGATTGATAAATAAAAAGAGTACAAAGGTTTTAAACGTGCAGAAAAGGGGCATTGCTAAAAACAAGAGCAGAGACAGGTGCTCAACATACCGTCATCGTCCTCATCGTCGTCGTCGTCAGAAGAATCATCGTCGTCCCCCTCCGCGCGGGCCTCGTACGCGCGTTTCAGTCCATCGAAGACCACCAGACATGACGGCAGCAACTTCGGCACAACCTCGTCGAGGTTAGGCCGCTGCGGGCCCATTTCCAGCAACGTGCAAATGCCAAGCACACATAGTTTTCTGTCGTGTATTCTGTATAGAAAAAAAACAATAAGAATCTACTGAGCCCTTGCTCTATTACACGCTTAAGAAGCTGCGCTGAAGTAACACACATGTGTTTTCATTAATAATTGTCACTCCCAATGCAGTCAACAGAACAGTAGTTTTAGTAGCTGTAGAGCTCCTTGTGAAAGAGTTCGTCCAGGGAAGTACTTCCCTGATACATAAAAACTTGTGTGTTGTGTGGTGGCAGTACTGCCACCTTACATATTTCTGCAGCAAAGAAGTAATATGAGCGTTACTGCGTTCCGGTTTAAAAGGATAAGGGTGTTGGTGAAATTACAAGCACATGGGACTTGTCAACTTATATCACAGGTTGACGGGCGCAGTGGCGGTGCCCATAAGATCTTTCCGATTTAAAGCTCTGAATGGCACTGCAACTGTTATGGATAGGCGTGTCGCTTCCCACCAGGCGCACGGCTTGCTCGTCCCGTCACTTGATATTTATACATAAAAGAGTGAAGCTATAAATGACACTTTAGTTCGAATATCGCCTCCAGTGCAAAGGAAGATCGAGTAGATGTAACACGTGGTCGAATTTTAATATGAACAACGACAACGAATTCTTATTAAGTGGATATACAATCAGTGTTCCACAGTGGAAAGCAACAAGTTAAGTATCTGCAGGGCATATACGTAGAGATGAGATTACCTGCTATATTCGCATAGCACGCTAAATGCTAAATTTTTATAGCGCGCTATTTAAAGTACTAAAATTATAATTTTTAGCAGCTCAAGGTCGTTCGATTATGTAACGAATGGAAAGAAACGTGAAATAGTTGACGTGCGCTAACTTGTTAAGTATAGTATCTATGGTCTATCTATAGAATAGTTTACAGCTTTTTATGGTTAGTTACGACCGACTTCATTTGTTTTGTAACTATTAAATAATATGGTGGTTACAGGTTATAGACGATAAATCAATCGAGCTTTCCTTCATACTTTAACAATTTACTATTTACAATTTGCACAAAACTTTACACTGGTTATTTACAGTAAATTACACTCATAATAATAACCCATACACTCGTACGTTTATATACAAATATTACAACGACTTATTAATTAAACAAACGCTAAAGTAACTAAATAAATCCAAGTACTTAATTATATCTTAATTTAAATCGCTTCACCAGACGAAATTTTGCTCACGTTCCACCATTAGCACAAAATCGTATTAAAACGTAACCAAAATTATATTTTATAACATAACTAATATATATAATAATTATAATAATTGCTAAGTGCTAAATATAGCATTGGCGCTTAGTGTACACAAACGTGAAATTTAACATCAATAAACCGATCAGCTATTTCGCGTTTCGCACCAAACGTTAAAAGCTACAAATAATATGTGAAAGTATTTCACGCATTGACTTACAATCACGTTATAATTGTTTCAACCAATATGACAAGAGCCGCAATTTTCACATCTTTTTTTCACATTTATATTGCCATCTATGAAATATTAAGGGAGATAACTCAGGACGAAGGATTTTGTTTGTCAGCTGCGTAAGTAAACCACAGATATATTGATGGTATGGCATTGAAATATTGTAAAATCATGTCGCTAGATGACATTTGGTTTAATTTTCTTAACGTACTCCAATCCAAAGTAAAAAAAAGTACGTTATAATTTTAGCACCTTTATGTCTCTCAAATTATAATTTATAATTTATAATTTTTTATAACTAATTATAATTTTTTAGTTTAACGTTATAATTTGAGCTATATATTATATTAACCATCTGTACATATACGAACTGCTGGTACACTTAACAGACAGCTTTAAATATTGACTGGAATTCATTGAAAATGTCTATTTCGATTATATAATGAATGTTACCCCATAAAGCAGTCGGTGTCATGTATCCACTGCTTGATGAAATGCTCTGTTATTGATGCGTTGGGAACAGATTCTTGCAGCTTATTTAATATCGTGAACAACAAAGGCGGGTTGCAGTATAGGATTGCTATCAGAACCTGAAAACAGAGTAAAAAATTTTAGCAAAATAATTTTAAGTTGTTTTTCAACTGTACTTACTGTAACTACATATGCGTGGCACAATTAGGTCTTCTTTAGAAAGGAGGTTTAGATCATAGGCTGTGTCCCAATGGTTAGTACCATAGACACTGATGAGGTTCCGAGTCGATTTCGGTAGAAACAATTTTCTAAATTAGTTCTATTTTATAACCAGGTGAAAAAAGAGCACTCTCTTTTTTTTTTTGAGAGCCTCCATTACCAAATGTCCTCAATTTGTGAAGCATGTAAGTTTCAGCTAGCAGTAGAGCTCCTTGTGAAAAAGTTCGTCCAGGAAAGTACTGTAACCTTACTATTTCTGCCGCCAAACAGTAATATGGGAATTACTGAGTTCCGATTTTAAAGGTTTAGGGTGCAGGTGAAATAACAGGCACGTGGGAATCTTCAACTTATGTCTAAGGGTGATGGGCGCAGAGGCAGTGCACCTCAGATCTTTGCGATTTAAGGCTCTGAGTGGCACTGCAACTCTTATGTCGCTTACCATCAGGCGCACGACTTGTTCGTGTTATCACTTAGTATATTTAAAAAAAAGAACAAAAAACGTAGTTACTATAAATCTGCTTAGGTAATTCAAGTTTGATCACGCAATTTGCATATGCATATAATACAATTGGACATAATTATGCAAACTACAACCAACCCACAAAATGTCACTTTCGAGATAATTAGATTTTTTGTAAAAACAGTGTTAAGAAGTAAATAGGTAAGTTATATTGTATATTGCGACAAACAACGTGAGGTATTTGTAACATTGAGAATGATATTGGGAAACTATTATATCATATAGCAATAAATAGAAAACATTAGGTATTAGTTAACGAGAACCATCTTCTAGTTTTCGTAATGAAAACGCTAAAGATCTCCAGTACTTCAGTACATGGTGACATGAGTCTATTTAGCATATTTGAAAAAATACAATAAGAAATTAAGCAGCATGGTTCTTTTTAGCTATTAAAAAGTTACTTATTTACAGTTGGTACGCTGAAGGACATTTATTTTTTCGGTTTTAACTTGGTATATTGACAGGATATTGCCTTGGTATATCTTTTGTGAGCGGGTAAAGGACACGTCTGGTGTTCTACCTAAATACATAACTCAATTTCACTCGAGATGTGGGTTGGTTCTTGTTTGCATAACTATGTCCAATTATACCTATACTAGTATTATGTGGTTTGTGCCTAAACTGCTCAACAACGCATCCACAGCGTGTTTTTCAGGACTAAGTACAAAGGTGAGCAGTGCCCAGATGCCATGCTGATTTTTATTTGACATGCGTGTTTATTTATTTATTTATTTATTACGTGTTACGCACTAACGCTTAAATGCGGTTTATGATAAATAGAATCAGAGAATTGATTTTACAAAGAAAACTTGCATCGTAGACCAATTTAGGATGACCTAGCGATACTCCATATTTGCTCATAAAGCGGGATTAGAGGTTTGTTTCTTCATTCCAGTAGGGCTAGCTCGGCAAGGCGCGACTAGCGCGTCAGCGACATGAAGCGCGAGATCTCTATGCGAGAATAGCAGTATCTCTCGCTTTGTTGAACTGGTACTGGCAACAAGTCGTGGGTGGATAAAGTACTTTTTTTTCCCGGTTTACGTAGTAAACACTCTTAATATATTACCTGTAGTAGCATGGTTCTGAGTTCCGTAGTTTTAACTTTCTTAGTGAGTCTGTTAAGCACGAGCTCTACGAACGAAGGAAGGCAGTTGTCGATTTTGCCTGAACACTGTAGCACCATCACCTCCAGCAGTTTGGCCGCGTAAATCTCCGATTCGTCCTCACTGTCTGAATTCAACACCTGCGTAATAAACAAAAAATATATACCTATATATATCGGAAATCCACCTAAATCGGGAGGACTTCAGTTTTTCTTTGTTATGTTACGCGATGTGACTACAAAGGCATAAAATGCAAAATTGCATTAAAATTCGTTCAGCTGCTTCCGTGTAAAATGTTAACAGTAACCTACCGTACTCACACACAATAGCCGCGAAGGAACGCAAAAGCAAACTCCAGTCCATAGCGAGGGAGTATAAATAATAAGGACAACAAACAAGAGAATAAATAACGCACACACTCCAAGCCCGGCACTGAGGATATCCTGTCGCTGGTACCATGGACTCACACATACATAAATAAATAAACATAGGCTATACAAATATTTATCCCGGCCCGGGAATCGAACCCGAAACCTCGGTCGCAGATCAACAAGGTACCCGTTCGGCCACTGAGGCAGTTCACGTGGAATAACACACAAAATAATATTAATCGAAAAACCATAATATTAAGCGTGCATATATAAATTTACTACCAATCAAAAAAAAATCAAAAAGCCTAAAAAAGGTCGCATTGGCACATTGACTTACAATTATATGGACGTCGGGTCCGCGCTAAAAAGTGTCCGCACTTGTAACGCGCTAAAATCGTATACAGAGCGCCAAACTCCGGTTTAGTGTTCATTTGTTCTACTGACAGCGCGATACTGCGATGACATTACAATTTAAATTTCGAATAGGTTGACTTGGGACATTTTTTTCGTGGTTTTTGTATTAGACCCGTCGTCCATTTAAGTCAATGCATTGGCATGAATTTACAAACAAAACAAAAAACCCAATCCATCTATTTGATAGTGTTCTATGGAGATCTCCATTACAACTATATAATACTTCATCATTCATTGAGTACAAGACTTCGTTTCAATCCATTTTACGGGAATAGTAAACAAACAGGTCACTGACCCGACCATAGGCGGTTAATCCATTAATTGAATGAATCGATTTGTTTTATTAAATCAGTTGGAATAACAATTCGTTTTGCGATTTCGCTGCTGATTATAATAAAAAAATATGAGATTCGTTACTAAGAACATTAATATAAATGATTGTTCTTATTAGAGTTTTTTCTCAACACATGTGTAATATCTTAAGGTTAAAATCTTAAGGCTTTCGTAAATAGAATAGGGTTAGAATTAGTTTAACTTATTCCATCGAGTATATAACCAGAAATAGAGGCGAAATGTCATTTAATTTAATTTGTTTGAAAACTATTCTGCCATATCATTACTGTGGCAACTGCGCTCCGATTGGCTAGCCCGAGTTCGAAACAATTGACTGGTGTCGTCAATGGGTGTCGTCAACTGTTTCACTTCAAATCGACCAGTTAACTTGAGCTTTGCTATAATGGACGAAAATTGCAAAATTACATATTTAATTACCGATGAAATTTGATTGCGTTTGTTGTGTAATTAGATGTTTTTTGTTTATCCCACACCACCGAATAAAACAGCACGGCATTGTTAGAGTTATTATCTGTATTACAATAAGTACATAATTTTTGTTTTTTATCAGGAATGTATGGCCCTTATTTCGTCTCTATTTCTGGTTATATACTCGATGACTTAAGGCCCATTTAGATGGAGAGAGTTTATCGTCTCGAAGATACGACTATCAAAAGAATATAAAAAAACTTTCCTCGTCTAAACATTCGCGATTATCGACTGTCCACGTGAGCGATAATCGCCTCACCTTTGAATATTGAACGTCTCCGTGTAAGCAGAACTTGAAAGCAAAAATCATATCTCGAGTTTCTGGGCCAGCCGTTTCTACCACGAGTGCAGTGCGCGAGGGTGTTTTGATTATCACTGCTTTTCTAAGACAACATTAATGAAACGAGAACGAAAAAAAATGTTGGATTAAGAAATGTTATAAAATTTGAAAAAAAAAAAAAATGTATATTTCTATACAGCGCAATAAACTTAATACTATCAGCAGTTCCAAATTCGAATGATTTTTGCGTCATTTTGATATGTCCATAGTCAATACCGCAGTAATTACTTAACTCGAATTGCAATTCTCGCACTCAGAACGGTTCGAATCGATTTGTACGATAATCGTATGAACTTGAAAAATGTCATACGAGATCGTGTTTAGACAAGTCGAAAACTCGTAAGCAAGAATCTCCTTACTACATATTTCTCTGTGTAAACAGTCGAGGAGGCGATTAAGTTGCTTGCGAATCTCGTATGACACAATCGTAGGCGAGATTTTAGTTCTTGCCTGAATCATGGACCAATAACCCAAGAGGACTGCTAATCTCCATATTAAAAATCGTAGCTCTGAAAAAGGTCAAAATGCCGTCTTATTCCTAGATGGCGCTGATCGATAGCCTGGAATTAGTTTATATTTACGTAAATGGCCGTGGATATCGATTAACTCCTCTTTTATAGGAAATATAGTAGATATTCTATTTTTCTTGTAATGTTTTTCAAATATTTAGTAATAAACTAAAATTATTCTCTGAACTTCGATATTTATGCGTATCAATAGATGGCATTGTTCGTTGTTAACTAATTAATAACGTAACGCTTGCGAATATAGTTAGATGGCGCAAATCCTAAACAAAATAAAAGAATACTTGGAAGTATCTATAAAAATCTGAGCAATATAGTATAACCTAAAGGAAGTCTAAATTGTCATCCGTTTGCGGTGGCGCACAGTGGGCCCAAATTGATAATTCTTGGACATAGGAATAACTTGTGGAGTATCGAGCTAATTTTTTTATGTGATAGACAATAACACTCCTAACAACTTTTATTCTTGTATGATTTCTTGAAAAGTTGATAGTTTCAGAGAAAAAAAATATAATTTTTTTTGTGGAGAAATATACATTTTGTTCTTTACCTCAAAATATACGAAAATGTAGTGTGCGTGGGTTACTTACAGTATAGTTCCAATCATTTTCTATGTAGAAAAAAATAATCCGTCTGCATGTACTTGCGGCTTTGTAAGTAGAGGTGCGGCAAAATTGCTAACTCTTTTATGTACTTTTTTAACAAAATACATGAGCTTCGACTAAAGAAAATTTAATTTTAGTGCTAAATTACACAGAGCGTTATAACAATAACACGAAAGTTAAGTAGAAACTAGTATATTGTGTTTTATTTTTTAATAAATAACAAATCTAACATTTTGACATCTTTTTACTCGTAAAGCCGCAAGTACCTGCTGATGGATTGTTTTTTTCTTGATAGAGAATTATTGGACTTATACTGTAAATAAAGCACACATTACATTTTTCTACAATTTGAGATAAAAAAATAAAATGTTTATTTCTCCAAACAAAAAAAAACTGAAATTTTTTTTCTGAAACAATCAGCTTTCCAAGAAATTACATAACAATAAAAGTTATCAGGAATGTTATTATGTATCATGTGAAAAAAATCAGCTCTGTATTCCTAAAATTGTATCATGATTAAATAATTATTTAGCCTAAAATTTATACTTTTTATTAATTATTTTTAATTACCTTCAGATTAATTTATACTGGGTTGTTGGACTTTATGCACTGTTTGTAATGGATGACATATTACACACAGATTACACGAAGCTCATGTATTTTGTTAAAAAAGTACATAAAAGAGTTTTTATGTACAATTTTGCCGCACCTTTATTTACAAAGCCGCAAGTACATGCAGACG